ATTTTAAATGTCATCTCCTCAGTGAGCCCTCCCTGAGTGACTGACCCACGCACCCCCATCTAAATTATGGACCCCTCTTCCCCGCTACCATTTCCTCTCATTACACTATTCCAGCTCTATTTTATTAATGATTTAATGTCTCTCTCCCACACTCTAAGCCCTGTGAGGGCAGGAAACAAATTTACTGCATACAGTAGATTCAATTGGAGAATAAATGCTATAAGTTTATGGATTTAATTTTTTCTTTAATTTTTAAATCATCTCTTCACCCACTGTAGGCCTCAAACCCACAACCCTGAGAAAAAGAGTCGCATGCTCCACGGACCGAGAAAGCCAGGAGCCCCTATAATTTACAGATTTATGTTTAAGAATAAGCAAGTACTTTAAATAATAAATAGCATTGGGGGCGCCTGGGTGGCTCAGATGGTTAAATAATAAATAGCATTAATAAGATTAAATAGTATTAGTATTAATAAGCAATCATTTAATTAGTTACTTTGGTAGCTTTAACTACCAATGAGGAAAGCAACTTATTACTTTGAGTTAGCCAGACCTATACTTTGAATTTCCTCTCCACCATGTACTAATTAGATCTCTGGGCAAGTTCTCTGACTTCTCTAAGCTGCTGACCCCTCATATGTGAAATAAAGTAGTTGTACGAATGTGTGAGACAATACATGTAAAATAAATAAAAGATAATATATGTAAAAGGCTTGACAGTTATTATGTTTATGATACACCTGACTTTAAAATAATTTTTAAAAATACAAACTGCAGAGGCACCTGGCTGGTTCAGTTGGTGGAGCATGTGACTCTTGATCTCGGGGTGTAAACTCGAGCCCCATATGGGATGTAGAGATTACTTAAAAATAAAATAAAATATACAAACTTACAAATTTACTCCCTGCATTCTATCTCCATCATAGGCATATTCTAATTTTATTTATCCCATTCCATTTCCTAAAATTAACTTCTGCATCTAGAAGGTATTAGTTTTCCATGACTAAAAGAGGAGTCTCTAACAAATCCACTAACAGCAACATAAATTCCATCTACATACATGTAACCACCAGAGAAACTTAAGTAGGAGTGGAGCTTTGCCACTCTCACCCAACCAAAAGACAGTTTCAGGACCCTTCCAAATGCTGTGGCAGCCAAGTCAGATCTGGGGCCATCAATTACTTAATGAACATTTACTGATACAAATTAAGAGTAAGACATGCATGCAATTGAGGGAAGAAATACCTCATTTTCATATCTTTCCAAAAAAATAATAAAAATAATTGTTGCTCTCATAAATTCACCATCCACAAAGACTATACGATAAAACATAATAATGTTATGTGATGAATGCTATGATAGAGATGTCCAAAATACTAAGAGAACACAAAAGAGGAACTAACTCTCGCCTTCAAAGGGTAGGAAAGGCTTCAAAGAGAAATGATATCTGAGTTGGATATTGAATGAAAAACAGGAGTTTGTCAGGGGGATAGCAAGGAGAAGGACTTTCTGGACAGAAGAAAACTTTGTACAGAAGACTTGATATTTCTATTATGTAATATTGTTTTATTTTGCAGAGGAGGGAGTGGTGGTGATATTGGTACCTAGAATAGCATATAAGACTAGCAGAGGTGGCATATTGATGGGATATGAATACCATGCTAAGAAACCTACTCTGTCCCAAGAATAATGGAGAATATTAAGGAGTATGTGTGTGTGTGTGTGCACGTGTGTATGTACTGATCCAATTTGTATTGAGAAGACCAATGGCATGTGAAGATGGAAATTGTAGGCCAAAGACCAGTTTCTAGGTACTGTTGCTTATAACCCAGTAAAATCAATTGAATGGGTGACATCTTAAATTTTTCTTTATAATGAATTCAAATGGAATAGAAAATATCAGAGACTATCTGACATTACAAGGACAAGTTTTACAACTATAATATCAGAGACGTGTGTGTTCTGGGTTGCAGAGTAAAATTCATTTGTTATTGTGGGTCATGGTCAAAAAAGTTTGAGACCAGATGAAGGGGTAAGGGAAAAGTCAAGGAGATCTCCCTGGTTTCTGGTGTGGATACCGGAATGGATTGCAATGCCACTGCCCAAGACAGGGAACAGAGGAGGAGGCCTGCCTTTATCAAGTCCACATTTGGATGCAGGAAAGCCCAGACAGCAACCTCTCTCAACAATTTTTCAGCGGGCACAGTCAATACTAATCTTATTCGACAAAGACAAAGGACACATAGTCACTGCAGCTGCAAGCTCATGTGAATACACAACTGATAAGGGACCTCTAGAAATTGAAAATACACAGAAAAACTTAAGAACTAGAGAAAGCAGACAGGATAAGGGAATCAACACCTCCTCCAGGGAACTAAAAGGATTTGAGAAATCCTGCCCCTATTCTAAGCGCCAACAGGGAGCCATCACCCTTGGGAACCCAAGCAAGCTTTCTGAAAAGTCCACTGCCAGGGTATTCTGTTTATTGGGTTTATTTTTTTCTTAGGGGATGGGGAGGATTCTTTCTACTTTGTAACTGCTTTCTAAGCTTCCCTAGCTCTCCCTCATACTACCACCTACAGGAGGTATTTCAACCCTACACATCTCTAGGAAGTCCACTGAGTCTTGTAATATTGGATATGGCTATCCCTCAGTTATCCTCCTGGAGCTTCAGGCTAAGAGATCAGGGCTGGAAGAACATAGCTTCTCCACAGACTTGGCGTGGATCCATTACTCCTCCTAACACCCCTCTCCCCTAGAAGAGAAAGTTTCCCCAATTCTTCTTGAAGGATGACAGCACAATTGGGCCCCAAACTACATTTATGGCAACCTTCCCGTTAAAATTCCTCCACAAACCTGCTCTAGACACTTCTGACAAGTGGCTGTCCTCAAATACTCCATGTCCTTGCACATACGTTCTGTGGTTTGCTCCTGATATTCCCTCAACCTAAAATGCCCTCCTTTTCTCTGACAGAAATTCTACTCACCCTTCATGATACATCAACGTCACTTCTACCACAGAGCTCTCTATCCAATACTCTCCCCCCGCCACCACCATCACATTTGGATTTAGTCATACCTCCTTATCCTTCCATAGTCTCTGCTTGTGCCCTGGGCACAACACTTCTTTCACTGTCATCCATTATAGGCAATTGTGCTCTCTGCCTGTTATCTGCTAGACTAAGTTTCTAAAGGTGCATGCCATGTCATACCCTTCTCTCCAAAGCCCCCCAGTCCTTAACACACAGTGAGTTCTCAATAAGAGTTTCCCGATTCAAAGTGAAAAGCTACCGCTTCATTCTACCAAAGACTGCAGATCCTAAGAACTAAAGAGGAAGTGTGGAAGGGAGGCCAAGTGTAGATTTGAAGCAGACAGCCTCCCTCCCCCTACTTAACTGGTAGCAGTACTCCCCACTCCTCTGAGAAATTAAAACCAACCTCAGCAAGGAAGATACAGGAGGCATGTTTGGAAATGGTGGCTATCTTGAAGGAACTGTAAGTAGCTTCAAGGTTCTCCTGGCTACTATTAGTCAGGGATTGACCTTGGGATGTGGTTACAGGGATTATATATTTTATTTTGCCATCCACTCCCTCTAACACTCTGATACCTCTAGCTATATGGGCAATAAAGAGTCTTTCATACAAGCTCTGAATATTATCTTTAAGCTCCTCTGGGAACAGCCTAGCCTCCTCTCAGCCCTCCCACCTTTCCAGTGAGTAATTCTGCAATGCCACCTCTGCAGTCCTCTCCTCTTGAAAAAGTGGTTTTCCTCTCAGCATATTCAGCTGCCCTCCCTAAACCTTTTCTTAACCTTCACCATTCGGACAGAAGGTAGTCTGCCTTCTCAGCTGCCTGACTAAAAGACAGTATATTTCAAAGAATAGGCAGAACTCGTGCAGGTTTTGATAATTGTGGCTTCCTCTGTGGTCGCATAGGCACTACTTACTCAGATTTAGTATAGAACTTAGCCATTCCGATTTATCACTGACTATTTTAAATGTCTTATCTCCCTCGTTAGACTGTGAGCTTCTTGAGAACCACTGCTAGTTCCCAGCAAACTGCCCAGGACATAGTGTACACTCAATGAAGTACCCGCTTATAAAAAATAACCTAAAATAAATTGCTACCTTATGCCCCTCAGCCAATCTCAGTGACTGTGTGAGTTCAGAAGAAGAAATATTTCAGAGGTGATCAAAACCAAAAAGTCTTTATATAGTAGTCAGTCCTGTGATGCAAAGCTCAGCTGAAGGCAGTCTCAAACAAGGGTCCTTTTGACAGGGCAACCATTCCCCACGTTCCTCAGATACTCACTATGGTCAAAATAGTAAACTTAGTTCTCCGGAATTTACTTTCCCAAGATCTGGCAGTTCAATAAATGCATTCCCCAGCCCCCACTTCAACGTCTCTCCTATATCCTTCTGACCTTTAATACTGTGTAACATTAGATGAAAAACTGATTTTTTTTGGCTACTTAATTTGCAGCTGAAGAAAAAATATACTGTTTAAGGTGTTAAATATTTTTACATGCAACAAACCTAGCATGAATCTAACCTGTATGCACATTTTAGAGGTACAGGCGTAAATGTCAGTGCTATAATTTGTTATAGGTTTCTGATGACCAGCAATGGAAATGACCACGGATTCTCACAATTCAAACCACTTTTACGTAAATGTGAACTTTCCTAAAACAGCCAAGGGAGAGAACTTTCCATCCAAGCTCACAGAGTCTCTTAGAGATACTGATAGCATTGTTCACCAGGCGAGGTGTTCTTTGAGAAAAGCCTACAAATATTAGTTTCTTTCCGGGACTATGCTTTGACCTTTAATAAAAATGTGATTTAAGACACTAGTTATTAAAATGAAAGGAACAATTTTTTTAATGCCTGAACAACTGCCATTTCATATAATCAGCCTTGCTGAAGGCTATACCTTACAAGTTAGCCATGTTTCAAAAAAAAAAAAAAAAAATTTGGTGACTTCACTTAAATTGCTCACTTACCAGACGTGAAGTAGAGTTATAAGAAACCATGAATTGAATGTATCAGGCATCTGACACCCTAGAAAATAACAATAAAGTATAAATATGTGAGGGTTTAGAGAAGGAATGTTGACTGTATTTTAAATATTGGTAGGAATCTGTTCAAGTCAAATATATGGCAGGTACAGTGCTCTTTGATTATGCGACCATAGAGAGGGCCAGTGGAACCACAGGACGAGACAATGGGTTGAAAGAGCACTGAATGCAGTCAGACAACCAGCCTTCTAGTTCCAGTCCCGGTACCACTTTGCTGTGTGGCCTTGGGCAAATCACTTTTCTTCTCAGATGCTCAGTTTTCTCACTTCGTATAATATGGCCTAGATGATCTGTATGGTTCCTTCCAACTTACATGCTATTTTCCCTTCCTGGTCTCAAATTCATCTGGAAAGCTAGGCAGACACTACTTTGCCTACCCCACTTAAGTATAGGCGTTTTTCACTGGAGCCCCACTGAGAAGTCTAAGTTCTTCTAGTTTCTTTTTCCTGTCTTCCTTCTTTAAGGTGACCCAGTAGCTACAAACATGGGTATGCAGAATGATTCACCCAAAATAAATGACCAGGAGAAAGAAGTGAGGCTCTAGGGAGCTGTAGTTACATAAGAAAGCAGATTACATCTAATGAAAGGCCATTCATCACCCCCCAGGAATGACAAAACTTTAAGATACTAAAACTCAGGTCAATGCTTAGACATCCATGCCTCTCAATTCTCAGATCTCTAGGAAATGCCTCTGGCTAGATGAGGGATCCCCACTCAATGAGCCCTACCTATTATTACATGACAGGGAGCAAAGCTGGAGCAAGAGGATAAAGAAAAGTGAGTATCAGTCAATTTGGGCCCTTCGGGTAGAATCTGCCCTTTGAGCAATGACTCAAGAAAAAAGGGATATTTTCTGCCTTGCAGCAAACAATACAATGTACTAAATGATAACAAACTGGGGCCACTAGGAAAGAAAACACAGAGCAGAACCTCTGTGAAGCAACTAATACTACCAATAATAAAGAGTCGTAATTCCTTGCAGGCTTACTTTGTGTGAGACATTGTAATTGATGCTTACAAGCATGAGCTCAATGAATTCTACCAACAGGCCTATCATGTGGGTATTCACAATATCCTCAATGAAAGGTGAGAAAATGGACTCTTAGAGAGACACCATGACAATTGCCCAAGGTCACACAGCTATGAAACATCTAGGATCAAATTCAGATCTGCTTGATTTTAGGCACTGTGGTCTTAATCACTAACTGCTTCTCTAATACTAATATTAGAAACTAACATTCACTAAGGGCCCGTATTTCCTGTCAGGTCTACTGCTAGTCATGTCAATACATATCTCACTTAATCCTCACTTTAACCCTAAAGGGAGGCATTATAATCCTCATTTAGAGATGAGGAAACAGGCTCAAAAAGGCTAAATAACTTGAGGGCAGCCACAATATAACAAGCTAGTGGTTGGGCTGGAGTTTAAGTCCAGGTCTGTCACAAAGTGACACCAAAATACTCTGGTGAGCTTACTAGGAGGTGCCCAGCAGTTGTCAAGTGGACTTCCTCTTGGAACCCAGCAGGAGGGAGGTGAAGGCTGGCCTGGCCAACCATACAGCTATTAAGACACATGCCATCTGAGAGTGGGCCAACCACCCTCCACCAAACAAGAATAGCCATGAGAAACTCTCAAACCCAGATCTGAAGTTGGGTCTTTTTTGGATGCTAGAACAAAACATTAAAAAGAAAAGTTTTCTTGGAAGTCTGTCTTTCAATCTGGAAAATGAAATTTGGCTGCTTCTAAAGGACAATCTGTTCAATTGCTACCTCTACATCAAAGCTTCTCGGCAGCCTCCAGGAGCCTTTCCAATTCTCTCAGAGAGGGAATCAATTCTTGGGCTGGAAAGCACAGACAGACAGGCCAGCAGCTGGACTTGGGTCACAATTTTCCATTCCGGGGGTCGGCTCAGGGCTAATGATGGGAAAAGAGCTGGCATACTGACTCCCTGTACCCAATGGAGTCAGAACAGAAACCCACAGGGTAAAGCCTTAAGAAACAAGACCACTGAATGTCTGACCATAAGCATCACAAAAACACAGCAGATCTTCAGCTCAATGAACTGTGTTTAAACACCTCAAAGTTAAAAGCTGTTATTGCCTTTTGTCAAGATCACAGTCTTGCACCAATACGCACTCATTGCATTATTTTCTGAGGCTAGGTACTTTCTTCCTCAATACCAAGTTGGATAAAATTAAATAATTCATCACTGTTATGGAGTGGCAGTATTAACACAGTTGTTTGTTTAATGCAGGCTCTGGGGTCAGACCTCCCGATTCAAAACCCGGACTGTACCTCTGACTTGCTACGTGACTCTGGGTAAAGTTACTTAGCCTTCTCAGTGCCTCAGCTGTCTTCTCTGTAAAAATGGGGAGAACAAGAGAACTACCTTATAGGGATTTGTGAGGATTAAATGAGATAAGGCCTGTAAAATGTTTAGCAAAATGGTTAATATTTAATAGGTACTCAATAAATATTTACTATTGTTGTTTCTCGGTGAATTATTTAAACACTAGGGTTTAAAATATCTTAAAATAGCTCACTATTTAAGACTGTGTCAATAAAATGATGAACCTCAATCACTGACTCAGAACTTATTCATTAAGGAGCCTCCTCTCCAAGGTATTAAGTCTCTTAAGAGCTAAAGACAAAGCAGTTTTCATACAGTACGGAATTTCAGTATGGAATTAAACACAAACTTTACTGATTGGTCCCATTTGTTCCAAAGTGTTCCTCATAACAGAACCGATCTCCAAAAGACCAGTTAGCAAACCACTGCAGGCTCACAGAGGTTATTCTCACTGATGCCACAAAAGACATACATGATCAGAACATCTTGGAAACAACAGGGGGCTGGCTGTTAATCTCAACAGTTAGAATCCCCAAGGTCTAGGCCTCTGGATCAAGACCTCTGAACACGTTAGAGAGTCTATGACTTGGGCATTTATGGGGGCCTATCCAAGAGGCCACAGGCTTATTGTTTACTCACAAGCACACTGTGAGTAAACAACTCTTTCTTACACAATCTTCATGAATTAACACTGGCCTTACTTTTGTTGGAAGAGTAAGGATGACAGTGCTGAGCTACCTAAGCCTCTTTATCCTTTTTAAAAATTACTGAATGCTCAGGACTCTAAAAGTCAAGCCCTAAAATACCAAAAATCAAAGGGAGCAACAGCCACTTTAAAGGTATAATCTTGGGAAGTGATATATATATTCTCTTCTTTTATCCAAACCTGCCTGGCGTACTCTTTAGGACCTTCCTTTAGAAGATGCAAGAAAGTCTCATTGTTTCATAGATATTTATCTGCCTCCAAATGGTATTTTTCAAATTGGCTCCCTTTTTTATTCCTAGCCACAATTCAGAACCACTTTGGTTTCATTTTAAAATTTATTCTACCCACAAATGACAAAGATGGACCACATTGGAGCACAATACAAATGAACAAGCTGTAAGTCTAAAAGGCAATTCTTAAATTGAGTCTTAAAAAACCTTAAGCAAGAGTGGCATCACTGAAAAATATACTGCTTCCCCAGGTAACTACTTCAAAGGCCAAAGCTAGAACAAAGCTTACTGAGGTGAACATACTCTAATATATGTAAACATCAGTTTATAATACTAATAGAATGTCGCCTAGAGGTAGTTCTTATTTAAAAACAATAACATACAAAAATATTAAAATGGATTATAATTTCTAATTTGCAATTACATTCTTTCACAGGCCATATGTTATAGTGGAAAAATTCCTGGCTTTTAAGCCAGACAACATAGGATCAAGCCTTAGCTAAGCAACTTTGGGAAATCACTTAGCCTCTTAAGTTGCAACTGTTTCTGAAAAGAAAATAAAAATGAAAACAAGAATACAAGTCCTTCCTATCCTACAAGGTTTTCTAACTCCTAAATGAAACAAATGTAAAAGCACACCATGTAAATGTGAATTATTAGCATATAATGGTAATAATTTGTATAAACTTTTATTTTTATAAGTAGATTACAACAGATTATACATTGAAAACATGATATGTTACCTTAAATATATAATAATAATCTCATTACTCAATCTATAATATTAACTCAAAGATCTTCAATAATGAGGACTGGCTAAGACAAAGATAACTAGTAAACATCATTTCAAAATAATTATAAATTTATGAGTTATTTATGGAATCAAATATTAAACAGATGTCTGAGGATGAAGATTTAAAAAGATCTGATGAAAAATACTTAGGGACATGTATTCTAGAAATCACTTAAGAAAAATCCAGCTTCTTATGGGGCGCCTGGGTGGCTCAGTCATTAAGTGACAGCCTTCGGCTCAGGTCATGATCCCAGGGTCCTGGCATGGAGCCCCGCATCGGGCTCCCTACTCTGCGGGAAGCCTGCTTCTCCCTCTCCCACTCCCCCTGCTTGTGTTCCCTCTCTCGCTGTGTCTCTCTCTGTCACATAAATAAATAAAATCTTTTAAAAAAGAAGAAAAAGAAAAATCCAGCTTCTAATATTAATAGTTTCTTCATCTTTTTTTAAGATTTTATTTATTTATGTGACAGAGAGAGAGAGATCACAGGTAGGTAGGCAGACAGGCAGGCAGAGGGAGAGGGAGAAGCAGACTCCCCACTGAGCAGGGAGCCCGACACGGGGCTCAATCCCAGGACCCTGAGATCATGACCTGAGCTGAAGGCAGACGCTTAACCGACTGAGCCACCCAGGCGCTCCAATAGTTTCTTCATCAAATAGATAAAGAATAGTTTCTCCTTTCAGACTAATTTCTCCTAAAATGAGAAATTTTTAGAGATTAAAAGGAAGCAGGAAAGTTTACTTTTGTTCCCATGAATAAATAAGAAACAGAAGGTAGACACTAAATCAGGATTACAACTCAGTAGGGTATTTTAAGTTTCTAACATAACATCAATCTGCTGAAATTGTAAAATCACCAAAACAACTTGCATTTGGTTTTAAAAAACCAAAATAGTGATTAAATAATCCAAACAGCATCTAGCTATCTTCCTTGTTATTAACATAATTCTATATAAATATTTGCTCTCCATGAAAAATATCAAGTATATACAGTTACGTGTTTGTGGCTTGCAGGATAATGGCTGTTACCACAGATGTGCAAAGCACACCTTTCTTTCCAAAATCTGTAGAACTAGGAACAGCTTAAACTTTCCCAGTTACTTTATAAGTACCTGCTTTAACTAACTTTATAACTAAATAGATTACAGCATCAAAATGAATACTATATTGATATAATCGACTGATAGTTGTGGTCTAAACCAGTAAAACCCTTTTGGAAAACAATTTATCAATGGGATATAAAAAATAAAATTATACACACACACACACACCTTTTGACCCAATTATCCTTCAACAGAAATAAAACAATCATTAGGCATCAACCAAAACAATTAAAAACTAGAAATAAAAGAGGAATGATTGGCAAAAAGTTCATTTCACGTCAGAATGCTCAGTAAAACATCCAGAATGTAAACAGGATTTGTTTACTATGAGTACTCATATGTAAAAAGATGCATGTGTGGAAAATGTCAAAGTACTAGACAAATTTTTAGGTTTCTTCTTTTTTCAAACTTGTTAAAATGTCTTATTTATAGGGTTTCTTGCCCTTGTTTATTCTATTAAAAGATAAAAATAAGCAGCTCTTATTATACACTCTGTACAGGAAAAATTGTTTCACGAATGACTCAAAACCGATACAGTCATAAAAATGAAAAATAGATTTTTTTTTAAGATGTTATTTTTAAGTAATCTCTACACCCAACATGGGGCTCGAATTTACAACCCTAAAATCAAGAGTCACATGCTCTACCGACTGAGCCAACCCGGCGCCCCATGAAAAGTAGATTCATTTTCCTTTTCAGAACTATCAAAAACAGTAACTTACTTAGAAAGAATTCCTCGAAGTCAGTTTTCTCCACACAGCTAGTATACATGCGCAGGGCCGCAATCTTAATCTTCTAGACAAAAAAAATAAAACCAAACTCAAGATATGACCAAGTTATGTTCTAGTGCTATTAGATGTAGGTCACAACATCTTCAACTAGGAGGATGAGTCCAAACCTATCTCTAGGCAAATTTAACAGCTAAACCAACATAGATTATTTCTTTCTTAAAGCTAACCATTCACAAACTTCACACAATTTTCACATTTTATGATTTAGCATCAAAATATCAAAAAGATTTTTCCAATATTTAAATGAAATCTCTCCCTTAATTCAAACTCACTTCATCAGTGAAGGCTCTAAACCACTGTTCAGCATCACTCACATTAACTCTTTATATCCTGAAACCCCTTATATTAAAAAATTACCCATTCTTCTGACCAAAATCAAACACACCAAAAAAAACCCTCAATCTTTCAGCCTTACCTCAGAAGCACTACTATCTATTCTGTAAGTCTTTTTTATACCTTGGGGGAAGAGTTATTTTTTTCTATATTTTCCCTAGTTTTATAGTTTGCTGATTAAGAGAAGACTGTGCTTACAAATAAGGGTTTTTAATGAATGCAAAATATAGTAAAAGGATCAACATTTTACTATTCCCCAAAGCACTAAAGAATTCTCTTAGAATCTTGATCTGAGTGGTGGTTTTAATTTATTCACTGTACACTTAAGATCTGTATATTTTACTGTATGTATATTATGCCTCCATAAAAATAGATCTAAAAGTGAAAAATAAATTCTTTTAAAAGTTAAATTGTAGGTCTGAAGACCAACTCAGTGCTAAAGGAAGGAAATATTCCTAGGGACTTTCAAAATATTTCTTTAAGGATACAATTAAATAAATTAGCCCATCCACACAAGGCTTATAGCAGCTTATTTTTTCTTAAAATGATAGAAAATTACAAACTCAAATATGCAGACTAAAAAAATATGCAGAAACAGAATAAAATAGCAACTGAAGAAAAAACAATCTAGAATTTTAGTAAAGCTATGTTATTAAGGCTCAAAGTCACCAAAAATATACTATATCCAATACTACATAATGTTCATTTCTCAATACATTCTAGGGTCAAAACAGCAATGTCTCTAACGGGCAGAAGTACCCAAAATAAATTAAGGGATTATGTCTGTAATTGTAATTAAGATTTTTTTCTTTGCTAATTTGAGGTCTGTCATGTTTTCAAGTCTTTCAGAGTAAAGCTCATATAGGGGAAAACAGAATAAACATAACAACTGAAAAACAGATATATCTACATGGGAATAAATCAGCAAAAGAAGCCAATTTAAACAAAACCTATGGTAAGACACTAAAAAAGAAGAGCAAATTAAACCTAAAAGCAAGCAGAAAGAATGATATAATAAAGAACAGAGATCAATAAAATTGGAAACAGAAAAATAGCAAAGAAAATCAAAGAAGCCAAAACCGGTTCCTCAATAATATCAGTAAAATTGATAAAACATTAATAGAACTGATCAAGGAAAAAAGAAAAAACAGAGAAGATAAAAATTAGCAGTATCAAGAATCAGAGAGGGTATCACAACATATACTAATGATATTCACAGAATAATAAGGGACTATTATGAACACCTTTAGGACAACAGATGTGATTATTAGAGAAAATGGACAAATTCCTTGAAAAAAACACAAATTACCAAAACTCCCTAGAATAAATAACATGAATAGTCCTATATCTATTAAAGAAATGGGATTTGTGATAAAAAAAAAATCTTCTCCAAAGAAAACTCCACGCTCAATGGCATCACTAAACATCACTCAATGTTTCTCCCAAACATCTAAAGAAATGATACTAAATCTACATGAACTCTTTCAGAAAACAAGAGGGAAGAACACTTCCTAGCTCTTTCTATAAGGCCAATATTACCCTGATATCAAAACCAAAGTCATTAGAAGAAAATAAAACTACAGAACCACAGCCTTCATGAATATAGATGCAAAAATCCTTAACAAAATACTGACAAATCAAATCCAGCAATATTTTAAAAGGACAATAAATCACAACCAACTGGGATTTATCCCTGGAATGCAAAGCTGATTCAACATTAACAAATCAATTGGTGTGATTCACCGTATCAGCAGGCTAAAAAAGAAGCCTGCTGTTAACTTTGTTAACATCTGCAGCTCTAGGAAGTACTTGACACAGAACACATTTTGGGAAGTACTGGTCTGTACCATCATCAACCTAATGATATCCTCATATTGTTATGCCAATGATTTCGCTTTGACCAGCCTATTTCTATGCTTGAGACAGGGAGTTTAGGACATCTATTAGCTCTTCACTTCAGTCAACAAATAGTTTATTGCGTACCTAACTCAAGCACCTGATGTGGATCTGGATGTTGGGAATAGAGCAGTAAACAAAGAAGTCAAAAACTCCTGCTTTCATGAAGCCTACCGCCTACCTCAACTATAGACACACTGATAAATTTTTTTTTTTGCCTGTAAACATAGAAGAAGACACTCAACTTTATTAGTAACCAAAGGAATGCAAATTAAATCAAAAATGCCATTTCACACCATCTAATTGGTAAACATTAAACCATTCGACAGTATCAAGTGTTGGAAATGATACTGAACCTTAAAACCCTAGCTGATGGACATATAAACTGATAAAACAACTGATGATTATAATTTAATACAGTTAAAAATATTCATAGACTGGTACCCAGTAATTCCATCTCTCTCTCAAGGAACTCCTGCACAATTTAAAAGGTACCGTCATTATGAAAAAGCTAAAACAGCTTTCTTTGGTAGAGGAATAGTTAAGCTGTAGTTTAATTATATAATGTGAAGCTATTAAGCAGTGGAAATGAAAAAAATCAGATCTCCATTCAAAAACATAATGTTGACTAATAAAAACAGGTTGAAAAGTGAGATACCACTTATATAGTTTTTATGAATACAATACATAATAGTATGTATGTTGTTTATGGATAATATATGAGTGGTAAAAGAACAAAAATGTACAAGGGAATGACAAAAATCAACTTTAGAACAGTAATTACCGTGGTGGAGAAAGAGAAGAAAGGAGAAATGGGCTGGTTTATTTTCTGTAAAAGTTTATCTTGGAAAAAATAAAACTAAAGCAAATATGGCAAAATAATATCTGTCAAGTATGGGTAGTGGTATATAAATGTCAACACATTTACAATTTTAAGTAAAATTCCTAATGGCTTGGATTTTTTTCTCTAACTCCACAGTTTCCTTCAGATTCTCACATAGAGAGTTCTCTAGGTTCATAATTAATCATTCTGCCTGAGAAAGGCAGATTTGTCACCAAGACCCAAATCTTCCCTTGAGAAGGTTTTCCCCCACAACATGTTCATGAAGAAAGCCTTCATTACAAATAATGAAGACTTCACCAGACTGGCCAGTTATTTATACACTGCTCATAATGTGGCAATCAGGAGCATTTTATAGTTCCTCACTTTTCCTGCACTGAAGCCAAGCCTTTATACTTGGGTGAGCCATTTTCCTGGACAAATGTCTAAAGCAAGTCCCCTAAGACCATCACAGAGGGACTGGAAATAACAACTTGGGGAATGAATTTCTTCCAAGATTCATGCATTAATATAAGCTAAAGAGGTAGGTGGACTAAATTCCACCCAGTCAATACAAATTGTTCTGGTTCTCAGAACGCTTCATGTTTATTTCATTCTAACTCTGGAAGACTTCATCAGTGTCCCTGATGAAAACACAAGCACCTCAGACAGCTTTAAGAAATGAAAATCAGGGGCGCGTGGGTGGCTCAGTTGGTTAAGCAACTGCCTTCGGCTCAGGTCATGATCCCGGAGTCCTGGGATCGAGTCCCACATCGGGCTCCTGGCTCGGCGGGGAACCTGCTTCTCCCTCTGACCCTATCCCCTCTCATGCTGTTTCTCTCTCTCTCTCTCTCTCTCAAATAAATAAATAAATAAAATCTTAAAAAAAAAAAAAAGAAAGAAATGAAAATCAGCTCTCCCACTGACTGATGCATCTTATGCCATCTTACAAGATGAAAAATGAATGCAATAAAAGGTTTGCCCTAACAGCTGTGTGAGAGTTGGAGGGGCTTTGAAGTCATTTGAACCTTCTATTCTGTACTGGAATTCCTTCTACAGCATTCTTGATTCATAGTCAACCATCTGGGCCACTGCTGAAACAAGTCCAATGACCTTGGGAGGTTACCTATCCCCCTGAAGGACAGTTCTTGTTAGATTTTTGTTTTATGAATGTAAATCTGCTTCATGTAACATTCATGAAATATCCACCGCCCAGTGGAATACTTTAGTTAGATTAAGTCTCTTTATTTTTTATTTTTTTACTTTTTAAATACCCGAGAAGAACCATCATGTCCTCTCTTCTCCAGGGTAAGCATACCTATTTCCTTCAACCACTCTTCATCCAACACGGTTCCTGAAGCCTTCACAAGGCTCACTACCCACTTTTTTTTTTAAGATTTTATTTATTTGTTTGAGAGAGAGAGACAGATAGTGAGACAAGGAGAGAGAGCACAAGCGGGAAGGAGAGGGAGAAGCAGGCTCCCGCCAAGCAGAGAGTCTGACATAGGGCTCGATCCCAGGATCCTGGGATCACGACCTGAGCTGAAGGCAGACGCTTAACTGACTGAGCCACCGAGGCGCCCCATCACTGCCCACTTCTGAATGCATTCCAGTTTGATAGTATCCTTCAGAACAGAAATAATTTTTTGGCTTTATGCTAATCTGGAAACTGCCTATTCTATGACATGTGACTGAACCTGGGAAATGTCGTCCTTGTCTTACCTGATATTGCTACATAAAGATAATGGAAAAGAATGATTATTTCAGGACAAACAGGTAAGAAAAAGCTACATTTAAATTCCTAAATATGAATCTAGAAGAAAAATGAAACTACATATGAAAATGTTACAGAAGAGGGCGCCTGGGTGGCTCAGATGGTTAAGCGTCTGCCTTCGGCTCAGGTCATGATCCCAGGGACCTGGGATCGAGTCCCACATCGGGCTCCCTGCTCCTTGGGAGCCTGCTTCTCCCTCTGCCTCTCTCTCTCTCTCTCTCTGTCTCTCATGAATAAATAAATAAAATCTTTAAAAAAAAAAAAGAAAGAAAATGTTACAGAAAAAAATGGAGGAAAGATGGTTGATACTGCTGATGTCAAGCAGATATTTTACTCCCTAATGAAAGACATGTGGAAACACAAAACTCAAAGATCTTTCCAGTGCAATCCAAGTGTCTAGTCAAAGATAACTAAGTCAACACTTACTGAAAAAGGCTTGCAATCTTTCTTTCCATGTTTCTATCTATCTATCTGTCTATCTATTTATTTGAAAGAGAGAGAAAGCAGCAGAGGGAGAGAATCAGACTCCCCGCTGAGCAGGGAGCCCAACATGGGACTCAATCCCAGGACCCTAGGACCATGACCCGAGCTGAAGGCAGAAGCTTAACCGACTGAGCCACCCAGGCACCCAGGGCTTGCAATCTTTCAAAATGGAAAGTTATACCTATGTTTTCCCACCCAAATTATACTAGAATGTCATACTTTGATGTTTTGATATCACAAATTAAAAAATGAAGGTTACAGAAAGTGGACACTGCCACATCACAAAGCCTTTTAAAATGCAAATATTAGGTACTTAGTTGAGGTCACAAAGGAACCAAGAAAAATCAAAGGCTAACTTAAACTACAACAGTGAAGAAATTTTCCTGATGATTTAGTAATCCTCCAAATGGTAGCCAACTTTCCCTCTGGAATTATAAAAAAAAGACTAGACAAAGCAAGAGTAGCAACCAAGTGGAACTCAACCATCAAGAAATGAATAAAACAGGGCTCCTGGGTGGCTCAGTTGGTTAAGCGACTGCCTTCGGCTCAGGTCATGATCCTGGAGTCCCGGGATTGAGTCCCACGTCGGGCTCCCTGCTCAGCAGGGAGTCTGCTTCTCTCTCTGACCCTCCCCCCCTCACGTTCTATCTCATTCTCTCTCTCAAATAAATAAATAAAATGTTTAAAAAAAAAAAAAAAGAAATGAATAAAACAGTACATTTTTCCTTTTTTTTTCTGCTCTCACTTCCCTTTTCTTTTAATTAATTTCTAATTTTCAAACAAAACACGTATTTTAAGTTTTTTAATCCAAATGCCATAATCACAAATCTTTTTTTCATAAAAGATTCTTGTTAAACACATTACCAAATATACCAATGATTATCATTTGCCAAAAGATTAAGATGTAAAAAAGATAACTTTAATGAATATAACTAATATTTCGCTGATGATTAAGAAGGCACTTCATAATCGTAGGGTCTCAAGAACATCATTATTACCTAGTATATGTGTTATCTTCTATACTTTTCAAAGCCCCTTAAAAACAAAATGTTTGTGGAATCACCACTTGCTTTCCAGAATTTATGTAAAAAAGAGATTATAGGGAAAAGCCTATACTTGCTGCAGTGAGAATTGTTAGGAAGAGAACCAGACCTTGCAAGGAGAAACTACAAGTAAAGTCTGTAATAAAATTGAAATTCTAATTTGAATCCATCCTGTTAAAATGGTATAACTGGCATTATTTGATCATTTGGGGCAAAGCTATGATGTTTTCTAGAAAAGTCCTCCCTACTGCTTTGTGTTGACTTGCTTTGATTAACATATAACTTATGACTGATTAGACTTATCTAACATTGTAGCAACCTTGAGAAGTATTAAAAGGCACTTCTGCTATAAAGTTAGAGAGAAATGCTAGCACCAGGAGGTAACTGGGCTAATATTTTATTACTTTAATTGGTTAGAGGCATTGTTATAAAAACCCAGGGGCAAATATGCACCTGATGCAGAGAAGACATTCATGAATTTATAGCAAATAATGTGCTAGGCCAAGACTTGACTAGGAATGACATAGCTAGCAAATATCCCTCCATAGTAAGAATTATATTAAATTACAGAATTAATTTAAAAATGCTTATTAGTAAAATTTTAACAAAAGTCACCATAATGACCTAGCAAAAAAAAATCATTTATGAATATGGATTCATCAAAGAGTAATATTTCTTAAGAATGCTACCCATCCGAACATTTGGCCCATCTACTTCCTTAGAACTCATTTGTATGGCCAATCATGTAGCAAGAGCCTGGAAAGCCCAGTCTTATTGGCTTGACTTGTCCTGAGATACTTCTCAGGAATCAGGTTAAGGGAACAAAGTATTCCAGATCCACATATTACATAGATTTGACTCAGAATGGGGGCTGGGGGGAGGGACAACACATTTCGAAGCTCTCAAAATAATGTACGAATTTCACAAAAGCAAAGCAGAAGCTTTACAAAAAACCTATTAGGAGCAGAAGGCCCAAAGCCCAAAAAGAAAATGAGAAGAATTTAAAAAGAATTTACCCATTTACTGTATTTCAAAGGTCCTGTAAATCCCATGGCTTCTATTATCTTCGTGAAGGCACCAACCTTCTCCTCAACAGGCTGTGGGGAATCCTTGGTAGTAGAAAGCTATTTCATCAAAAAGAAGGGGACAAAATTAGTTGCAAGATAATTTTTTAAAAAGATTTATTTGGGGTGCCTGGGTGGCTCAGTCGGTTAAGCGTTTGCCTTCGGCTCAGGTCATGATCTCAGGGTCCTGGGATTGTGTCCCGCATCGGGCTCCCTGCTCCACGGAGAGCCTGCTTCTCCCTCTCCCTCTGCCTGCTTCTCCCTCTGCTTCTTTCTCTGTCAAATAAATAAATAAATAAAATCTTTAAAATAAAAATAAAAATAAAAAGATTTATTTATTTATTTGGGGGGGCAGAGGGAGAAAAAGTCTTTTTTTTTGGAGAGAAAGAGCACGAGCAGGGGGAGGGGCAGAGGGAGAGGGAGAAGCAGACTCCCCATTGAGCAGGGAGCCCCACAAGGGGCTGGATCCCAGAACCCTGTAATTATTACCTGAACTGAAGACAGTCGCTTAACCAACTGAGCCACCCAGGTGCCCCCACAGAGAGAAAATCCTCGTTGGGTATGGAGCCTGACGTGGGGCTCTATCTCACCACCCTGAGGATCACTACCTGAGCCAGAACGAAGAGCCGGATGCGTAACCAACTGCGCCACCGAGCACCCCACAAAAGAATTTTTAAAAAAAGAATGCTTTTGTTTCTTATTAGATCTAAGGGTATTTTTTATTGCTTAGATTTTTTTTTTCACCTAGAATTTTTAATTCTCATTTTTCTGGGCATCTTATCACTCAGTGCAAATACATCTGGAACTCTAATAGGTATCCTTCAAATTTCAGAGCCACCTCACTGCCTATATGCCCATGAACCCATGTTGAGGAAATGACAGATGTGAGCTATCAGAATAAAAGTTCTATGGAAAAGAGTACTTTTTTTTTTTTTTTTTTTAAGATTTTATTTATTTATTCCTAAGAGACAGAGAGAGAGGGAGAGGGAGAAGCAGGCTCCCGCTGAGCGGGGAGCCCGATGCGGGACTCGATCCCAGGACCCTGGGATCACGACCTGAGCTGAAGGCAGACGCTTAACCATCTGAGCCAACCAGGCATCCCAAAGAGTACTTTTAAAAGGCAATCTTGACCCGCATCTCTCAGAGAAGAATTCTGAGAAGAGGAATGCTCTGTGTTTTTAACATAACAGGAAAAGGAAAGAAAACTCCTGTCTGAAAGCAGTCAAAAGTCATTCAAAATCATAATCAACCAAAGCAAGCACTGAATAAATGTTCCTAAACTTGTATTTTTTATTATAACACATAAACTTGCAAATAAACTCTAAGAAAAACCTATTCTAATGCTAAGCCTCTCCAAATGAAGGCAGGCTATATAATCAATAAGAAATTCTCCAGAAGTTAATTACTTTAAACACATATGTTTTAACATATAAAAATCTTTACATTACTTTTAACATATAAAAAATCCGTAACAACTTTTTTCTCTGAAGTGTTTTCCAAGCAAGGCAGTACAACAGAAGAAATACAGGACACAGGATCAGAAGCTTTAGGTTCAAATATTCAGTTGAGGTTTTAGGATACAAACAATTCGGGGCGCCTGGGTGGCTCAGTCGTTAGGCGTCTGCCTTCGGCTCAGGTCGTGATCCCAGCGTCCTAGGATCAGGCCCCGCGTTGGGCTCCCTGCTCCGTGGGAGGCCTGCTTCTCCCTCTCCAACTCCCCCTGCTTGTGTCCCCTCTCTCGCTGGGTCTCTCTGTGTCAAATAAATAAATAAATAAAATCTAAAAAAAAAAAGGGATACAAACAATTCCTATCCTTGTGACCTCAGGCAAGTCACTTCACTTCCATGAGCCTCACCTTCTGCATTCAATAAAATTCCTTGCTTTGGGGCGCCTGGATGGCTCAGTTGGTTAAGCGACTGCGTTCGGCTCAGGTCATGATCCTGGAGTCCCTGGATCAAGTCCCACATCGGGCTCCCTGCTCAGCAGGGAGTCTGCTTCGCCCTCTGACCCTATCCCCTCTCATGTGTTCTCTCTCTCTCTTTCTCTCTCTCTCGAATAAATAAATAAAATCTTTAAAAAAAAAAAAAAATTCCCTGCTTCATCCAGCTAACAATTTCGCTGAGGTTCAAATAAGAACACCTGTGTGAAAGCAGTCTATAATGTAGAAAACACTAATAATTCTCACCTTATTTGTGGTGTGATACTTCCTCCCCCACTGAACATCTATCCCAGGAATCTGTTCTGATCCACCACATTCTAGGGACTGGCTCATCTGAGGCCACTGGGGGATTAAAAAAAAACAGATGTAAGCAACAGAGAGCATTACTCTTGAGCAGAGCTGCTTCAAAGTAAAGACTATAGCATCTTTCCAGCTTTGCTTAACCTAGTTCCTGGTGATCTGATCACTAAAAGAATCCAAGATGGGTACCTAAAATTGTGTCTGGTATGCAGCAGGTACTCAATAAACATCTGTTGGATACCTGAATAAATAAAAGGATTCGGTCCTGGAAACCTGGAACTAAATAAATCTGAGTCAACTCTAAGAACTAGAATTGCAATAAAGACCTACCTAAACATTGGCAGCAGTGTGGTATAAGGGAGGAAAAAAAAGACTCTTAACAGTCAATTTTAAGTTTAAAGCCTGCTTCTGCCACATATAAGCTGGGTGGCCATGAGCAACTTACCGAACCTCAGTTGTAGGGAGGACTGAAGAAGATAACACATGTAAAGTACCTTTCACAAAATACTCAATAAATAGAAGCTTCCATCCTCACCATAATCACCAACATCATTGTTGTTCAGATCAGAATTGCCTTCCTTTTATGTTCCCATTGCACTTGAATGCACTTTGGTAATAAAACAGCCATTATTTACAATTTTCATGTGCCAGGTACTATGCTAAGTGCCTTACATATATTGCCTCTTTAGTACTCACCATAACACTATTAGGTTGGTATTAAAATCAAGACCAATAAACATAGTTTTGAAAATAAATTCCCAAGGGAAAAAATTTCATGTAAGAGAGCCTCACTGTAGCATTATTCACAAGACTGAAAACTGGGGAGGGGGGGAAGGGAGTCCAATAAGATGGTTAATTAAATTACAGTAAAGTCACTCAATGGAAAATCAGATAGTCACTGAGATTTTTTTAATACACTTTATTTTTTAAAACCATTTTATGTTCACAGCAATGCTGAGCAGGAAGTACAGAGAACTCCCATAAACCCCTTCTTCCTACACTCACATCCTCCAGTATCAACACTCCCCAGCAGAACAGGACATTTCTTACAATAGATGAACCTACCCTGACACATCATTATCACCCAAAGTCCATAGTTTACATTAAAGCTCATTATTCCTGGCAACATGAAAACACTTAAATGTATAAAATTATAGGTAAAAACATGAATGCATATGGGCATCTCTAGAAACATACAGAAATTAAAGAGTTATTTTGTTAAGGTAGTAGAATTATGGATGAATTTAGGAATAGTCTCCAAATTCTCAGTAATGTTCTATTACCTTTACTAAAAAGGGGTGAGGGAGCAGAAGGAGGGTTACCCCTTCAATTCTGGTTTATTCCAAGAAGAGAGGGAAAACATGAAATGAAAATGATTTTTTTCTTTAATCCTAATGAGGGAAAAACAGAATTTCTAATTTAGAGTTACCATGTACTTTTCTTTCCAAATAAGGATATTAAAGAATTAGTTAGGATTTTCCTTGTCAGTCCCAAGGACACTTACACTTTAATTCATAGGTATTAAGGAGGCTTTGTAAAACAGACTAAACACAGAACACCTCCCATTACATTACATACATCAATATAATGGTTTATCTAGAACACAAAGCACTCAAACAGGTTCAAAGAACAACCGGCAACAATTTCAACTAGCTGTGCTTGGCACAAATTCTCTTTTACTAGATTACATGATCCTTCTCTTCTCCCATAGCTCCAGGAGTAACCAATGGATTCCTGTGTGATTGTCTCACCAACTGCTATATTTCTGTCCTACCATTATTCATGAGTTAACATTTAACACTATTTGTAATACTGAAGTAACTAGGTATATAGTACCAAGAACACCACCTAGTTTCCCCATACCTACACATATCTATAAATATACACATTTACTATTTGTTGTTCTTGCCCCCAAAAAAAGATTCCCTTGACCTTTAAAGACATCAATTTTTCCTTTCTTTAAAATGAAAAGATACCAATAAACAACTTTTTGTAAAAGAAAAAAAAAATACCCTGCAATACTCAAATGTCACTTTTTCAAAGAGGCCTTCTCTGGCCATTTTATCTAAGACAGTTTCTTATCATCCCATTATTCTCTATCACAGCAGTGGCCTGTTCATTTCATTCATAGTACTCATTATAATGTACAATTATATATTTTTGAAACTTGCTTATTTTCTATCACCACTACCAAAAAGAACCATGAGGGTAGAAACCAGGCATATTACCAGAATCAAATACAGTGTGTTAGATATGGGAAACACTCAAATATTTGTTGAATGAACAAACCCAACCACTTCTATGGCTACTTCTTATTATTTCCTTCTGTCTTTAATTACATACACACCATGTATACATGCTTCATTCACCCAAACTTTATTAAACGCCCACAATATGCAAGCCTTTGCGTGAGGTTTTAGGATACAACCAATTCCTATCCTCAAGCAGCTCATAGTCTTACGGAGAACAGAAAGAAGACTCACTACACAAGAAACGGAACCAAATATCACATTTTAAAATGGTTAAAGGGGCGCCTGGGTGGCTCAGTCAGTTAAACATCCAACTCTTGATCAGCTCACGTCATGATCTCAGAGTCATGGGATCAAGCCCCGCATCGGGGCTTGGCATTCAGTGGGAGTCTGCTGGAGATTCTCTCTCTCCTTCTCCCTCTGCCCCCTCCCCTTGTTTATGCTCTCTCTCTCTCACTCACTCATAAATAAATCTTAAAAAAATAAAAATAAAAAATAAAAATAAATAAAATGGTTAAAGATCATGTACCCCCCCACACACACATACACAGAAGTGTTAGCGAAGAGGCAGAGCAACCAGAACTCTCATACATTGCTGGTGGGAGTGTAAAATGGTACAATCACTTCGGAAAATTACTCGGCGGTATCTACATAAGCTGAATGTATGCACATTCTATAAAACTCAGCAATTCCACTTCTAAGTATATACACCAACAGAAAAGTGTACATATGTTTACCAAAAACCATTTTTAAGAATGTTCATAGCAAAAAAAAAAAAAAGAATGTTCATAGCAGCACTATTATTAACAGCTCAAATTGGAAACAATATAAATGCCATCAGTAGATACGTAAATGAGTCATGGTATATTTATATAATAAAATGCTACACAACAGTAAGAATGAATAAACTATTACTACACAGAGCAATACTGATGAAGCAGACATACTGTACATACAGAGTACATACTGTATGTTTAAAAGGCAAAACTATTTTATGATATTCAAAGTGAAGACTGCGGTTAACCTTGGCTATGGGTAGTGACTGGGGGCTCAAGGAGCTTCCTGGGTTCTATTTCTTGATCTGGGTGCTGGTTAGTTCACTTTGTAATGATTCATTGACCTGTACACTTATGATTTATGCCTTATCTATATTTTTATTATACTTCAATACAATGTACAAAAATGCTTAAAGGTGTGTAATAAACAGTGTAAACTATAGAAATTTGGAGGGGAAAAGAATTACATAGTCATCCAAAAAGACTTCACAAAGAAGCCTTAAGAAGTGGGCAGAATAGAGAAGGTAAGAAGTCAAAGTGGAGGAAGCACAGTAGAATAGAAGAGAAAAGCACAGAAGCAGAACAACCAGTTCTGCTTGTCATAAATCTTTTTTGTTTTTTTTTTAAGATTTTATTTATTTATTTGAGAGAGAGAGAATGAGAGACAGAGAGCATGAGAGGGAAGAGAGCAGAGGGAGAAGCAGACCCCCTGCCGAGCAGGGAGCCCGATGTGGGACTCGATCCCGGGACTCCAGGATCATGACCTGAGCCGAAGGCAGTCGCTTAACCAACTGAGCCACCCAGGCGCCCCTATAAATCTGTTTTGAGAACCAAATAAAAGTGTACATGAAAAAGATAAGCAAGCTATAAGGCATAACATAAATGCAAAGACCTATTCCAGACAACTCCAATGATAAGCTCTTTTGCAGGCAGCCCCTCATTAAAATAAATATAAGATTTGACCCTTATTTTTTTCTTTTGCTTTCAGAAAGGTTCTGAAAGTAAAGAGACCTCCCTGATCTGAAAGAAAGAGGGAGGAAGGGAAGGGAGGGGCGGGGTGGGGAAGGGAAGAGAAAGGAAAAAAGAAAAAAGGAAGAAAAGGAAGGAAGGAAGGAAGGACTCCAGCAATTTGGGAATATCACAGTGTACCTAACTGATCCTTTTAGCAAAACTATAAGCTCTCCCAGGGCACAGTCTATCTTATACTTCTTTTATCTTCCATCCATTGCTCAATATCATTCTGGGCATGGAGTCAGCACTCAATAAAACTTCGGTGGATTTTTTTCCAATAGTTTTTGTTGTTGTTGTTGTTGTTGTGTTTGTTTGTTTGTTTGTTTGTTTAAATAGAAGGATAATCTGGAGAAGGTCCAGAAAAGAACCACAGGAATGATCAAAGAGATGAATAAAAGGTCCTAGTGGAAAGGTTAAAATGAATTGAGGCTGTTGAGCTTGGAGAAAAAGCAACTGAAGAACTAAGAATAACAACAGTTGAGCTGGAAAAAATCTCATAGCTCTAAGTCCAACCTTTTCATTTCACAGATGAGGAAACTAAGACCCAGGGAAAGCTTGCAACTTGAGGTAGTTTTAGGACAATTTTTTTTTTTAAGTTTCAATTTATACAGTGAGAATAAAACTTACCCAAGTAGCATGAACATACAGACAGCAAAAAAAACAGCAATTACAATTTACTGAAGATCTCCTATATACTCCGCACCTATATGCTTGACATTTTACTTAAATTATCTCACAACAACTCTACAAAGTTGATACTATTTTCTCCCATTTTAGAAATGAGGACACTAGGGGCGCCTGGGTGGCTCAGTCATTAAGCGTCTGCCTTCGGCTCAGGTCGTGATCCCAGGGTCCTGGGATCGAGCCCCGCATCAGGCTCCCTGCTCCTCCCTCTCCCACTCCCCCTGCTTGTGTTCCCTCTCTCGCTGTGTCTCTCTCTGTCAAATAAATAAATAAAATCTTAAAAAAAAAAAAAAGAAATGAGGACACTAAGGCCCAAAGAAGA